CCCGCATCCCCTGCATCGGCAGGCGGACTCTCAACCACTGCGCCACCAGGGAAGCCGTACTGTCTTTTTTTTTTTTTTTTTTTTTTCATCTCAGATGTTTTAATAGGGGCTCTTATGCACTATGTACAGGATTCTCTGCCAAAGGTGGTCTGGTCGCTAGTGACCTGAATGACATCAAAAACCAAGGGCAGCTCAGGGGCCACGAAACAGTGACTGTCTTGGCCGGCTTCACACCTTCAGTCTCAGAAGACAGCCAGCGGTGCGTGCGGTGACGCCGCAGCACTTTGATGGCCTTGAGCTCCAGGGGCGTGGCCTGTATACCCAGGTCTTCCAAGCCGGGCAGGTGAGGCAGGGTCATGTCTGTGATGTGAACTCGCTCAACTTTATCCCTCGTGGTCCAGGGCTCAAACGGACTCATTTCAAAGAGTCGACCTAGCCATCGATATGCAAAATGTGGCAAAGGGTATGCCAGGAAGGGTCTGTGAGCCATGGCAAAGACGTACTGTACCAGGTCAAAGAGGACGTTCCAGCTGGGCCCAACAAAGGCAAAAGTTTTCCCTCTGACATCTGGATCCTTAACTGCATTAACAATTCCTTTGGTGACATCCACAATATATATTGGTTGTTTCACTGTCTTCTTGCCCAAGGAAAAAGAGGGACAACGCCAAACCCTTGAATACTTGCAACATGATTGAGGAATCTATCCTCTCTTCCAAAGATGTCCGATGCCTTTATGATGGTAACTTCTGGAAATGTGTCTCTCACTTCTTTCTCTCCAGCAGCCTTATTTCTCAGATCTTTAGAAGGGCTTTGAATATCGGCATTCAGATGTGAAACGTGAATAAAATTTTCAACTCTAACTTGCTTGGACACTTGAGGGATTGCTTGGGGAATCTTTACAAAAACATCCTCAAAATCAAAGTTTTTGGTTTCCCATTCTCGCCCAACGAGATTGATGACCACGTTGCTGTGCTCCACAGCTCTTAGGATGGAGTCCTTGTCTCTCCCTTTCCATTCCAGAAGGATAATCTGGCCCAGGTCACCCATGGGGCGAAGGTGCATGGTATCATATGGCTCACCCCGGTAGGGGACAATCACTTGTGACCCCATGCGACGTGACATTGGCAGGGCCCGGACAACTCGGGGGTGAACGGCGGCCGCCATCTTTTCCCACAATCCCCTGCCGCCGGTGCTTGGCCGACTTCGGCTCCCAGGTACTGTCTTTTTGCCTCTTTCCAGAATACTTTTCTTCAGCAAATATTTTTACAAGACAAAACTCATCAAATTGTCTTTATGATTCTTTTGAATGCTTCATTAAATCTGGATGCTGCAAGATGGTAGGCTTTTTCAATCTCCTGCCCTTCTGGGACAGAATGTAATTTCTTCTAATTAAAAATAGAAACTCCATCAAAAGATTCTTCTTACAAGTCAAGATATTCTGAAGTACCCTTATAGAATTTCAATATTGAGCTCTCATTAATTAATGTGTTCCCTTTCCCCCGTACTTTTTAGGGATAAATTCCAATGTCTTTTTATTTGCAAGCTTTGTTTTCAATTAATGTAATTCTTTCAGAGCTTCAGAAACAAAAAATCCAAGTGTTAAATAATCAAGGTTTTCTAATTTTTTTGAACAACATGCATCCAAAATTTAGAGAACTCATTCACAAAAAAGTTCAATATTGTTGTAGGGCACTGAGACTGACTTCAGAAGTTCCAACTATTCTAAAATCTGATAGATGGCAGGTAGCAGAGACAAAGCACATTAAGCCACGCTGAAGCATGTTTTTTCTTTTTGTTTTTTAAACTTCATCAGTGTTGTCACAAAATGTTGGCAACTACAGCTTTTACTTATATTGGTAGAATACCAGCTTATTTGGATCCAGTATGAATTATATGTGTACCATCAACAATTCCAAGTAAATTTCTGCTTCATAGGTTTCTTAATTTAGTAAGGATTTTTTTTTTTACCATGACACTGTGCTCCACCAAAAACTATATTTGTATTTTCTTTGCAAAAACAAGTACTATTTAACTTAATGTCAATTGCACAATTGTATTCATAATAGTCTCAGATGATGCTCAATTAATTAAGAAAACTTCCAAAAGCTTTTTTCTGAGTCCATGACTTGGATGAAAAAAAAAGGAAACATTATTGGAATTAATTAATTTTTCTATTTGAGGAAATCTTATGACACTGAAATAAAACTTGCATTATTTTGACTATTTGTATAGTTTTCCTAATGAAGTCAACATGTGAACAATGATAGCACCACTTTTTGTACATGAATATGACAGTTTGGAATTGAAAATGAATAAGATTTGAGTCTCACATTTATTAGGATGTAGAAAATGGTAATAGCCTATCTCTCTTGAGGAAATACTAAGAAATGACCAAATAAAAAAGTACATATTTTTAAAAAGCTATTGAAGACCTGGGGATGCCGGGAAGTCTATATTCCAGGGAGAGAGCCAATCCTTTCTAGCTGAGCAAAGAATTGGTGTCTGATTTTATACCTGGGAAATATTATCTAGACAGTATATGGCTGGGTAGAGAAATGAGTTTGCCATAGATAAAGATATTTTGCTGGAATAAAATACAGTAAGCTAAACTTTTAATTACTATGTAGTTTGGCATGTGCGATTGGAATTTTGAAGAGCCCCAAATGCAAAGCTAAGTCTATTCTGTTTTAGAATTCCCATTTAAAAAAATTCCTGGATTACTTTTTTATTTGCTGGAGAATGTCCTGAGAGAACGTTTTTCAAAAAAGAATATTTGGTATGTAAATTTTCTAAGTATTTTTATGTCTCAAAAGATTTATGTTGTCCCTACACTTATTAGGTTTTTTTTTAAAATAAATTTATTTATTTAATTAATTTATTTTTGGCTGCGTTGGGTCTTCGTTGCTGCGTTCAGGCTTTCTCTAGTTGCGGTGAGCGGGAGCTACTCCTCGTTGAGGTTCACGGGCTTCTCCTTGCAGTGGCTTCTCTTGTTGCGGAGCTTGGGCTCTAAGTGCGTGGGCTTCAGTAGTTGTGGCATGTGGGCTCAGTAGTTGTGGCTTATGGGCTCTAGAGCGCTGGCTCAGTAGTTGTGGCTCACAGGCTTTGTTGCTCCGCGGTATGTGGGATCTTCCCAGACCAGGGCTCGAACCCGTGTCCCCTGCATTGGCAGGCGGATTCTTAACCACTGCACCACCAGGGAAGCCCCACTTCTTAGTTTTTAATAGAAAAGTTAGCATTATAAGTTTAGAATTTTATTTCTTTAATAAGGATTCTGGGGTATCACTCTTGGTCTTCTAGTTTCCAGTGTTGCTAATGAAAAGTCACATGTCAAAGGTGACTATAATTCCTTTACAGATAGTCTATTTTTCTTGTCTGGAAGCTTTTAGAATCTTCTTGTTCCTCCTGGAGTTCCAGTTTTCAGGAGAATGTGTCCGGGAGTGGGTCTTTTTTCATTCATTCTTCCTGGTACCTGGTGTGTTCTATTGACCTGAAGACGTGCATGTTCCTTCAGTGCTTGGGGGTGTTATTCTATCATTTGTATAATTTATATATTTTCTTCCTTTT